ATAGTTACGCCGTATATGCTCTTTGAGAAGAAATAAAGATTTAAAAAATCTCGTTATTTAAATAAATTTTATCTTCAAGAGGTTCCAAACTAAGAGAGTGTAACTGTATTTTAAAAATAATCACACTTTACATGCAAACTAAATACTCTTATCTATTTTCAGACTTCTTAAATAATTATGAAATAATGTTCTATGATAGAAAAATAGATTTAACATATATTATCCATCATACTCTTTATGAATCTAACCGATTTCTTGTCCCTAAGCTCTGGCACGAGTTTACGCTACTTACTAAAGTATCTTAATCTTTGGGTCAAGATGTACGCTGTGAGTTAGTTTTATCCTTCAAACGAATGTTTTGGTTGATTCATTCATTGCTCTGCCAACTAACGAATTATCCATGTGTTGAGCAATATTTTTCCACATTTTACCGCAAAGTTTATATCTTGGAAAACACTTAGAAACATAGAAAGATTAAAGGCCTAGTTTCAAACTTACTTTAACATTACTTTTAAGTACTAAATAAAGGTTTGTTGAATGTTTTGGAGTTCATTTTTGAAGAAAATCAAGGGAAGTTGATAATTTGAGGTCATGAGAACAAGGTTTGATACCAGCCAAGCGTTATGGGATACGTTTGCCCTCAGTTGCAATATTTGGTTTAACCTTAACGCTAGATTCAGATAAAGTACTGAAGGTTTTCTGTTTCAAGGCAAAACTGCCGTCCATCCAAGTATGAATACCTTCTGTGAGACAAAGCTAAGTAGACTTGTTAGTTATCGGGTAATCCTGGAAGAATTCAATTATAAATTCTACATAACCTTATATGATCTAAGGTGAAAAAAGTACTTATTTTAAGTCTTCAGTTTGGAATTTCCATTAAGATTTCTCAAGAATGTCAGTAGACTGGTAGCATATAAAGTCCAGGTACTTGATGAGACTTCTCACCACATTCAAATATGGAAGTCTTATCTGCTCAAAACTAGAGGCAACAATGGATAGGGCCCTTATTAGGACTTTTCGTTAGGTCTACTTTTTGTATGACTCAGCACTCTGTACTCACACTGTTGTTTTTGCCAATTTGTTCCATAAAAGTGCCTTCTTCAAATAGCCAGCTGCTCCTGCATCCGACACTGTCGCTGTCACCGTCTTGTTCATGCGAATTCTGGAGGCTTAGAGACGTCGTAAGTTGGCTTATTGAGGGCGCAGCATTACGGTTCCGTTGGCGCTTGGTAATCCTAGGAGTCATCTGAGAAGAAGAGCCATCAAGAGATCGAGATAACCGACTTGATCTGCAAAATAGGTCAGAAATGCCGAGAGTCAGAGGGGATAAGTGGTTGGGTTAGAAGTCATTGAAGATGTCGAGACGTCAAATTTATTGCAATTTTTACGTCGCAATAAGAAAGGCCTAATTATTGCATAGCGTCTTAGAGGAAATATGTAATCATCTTGGATCCTGCAGGGAGGACGTTAATCGAAGCGCAACAGCAACCTAAAAATCACACTAGAAATGTCTATATTTGGCATTACTTTGCATAGTCCTAAAGAATTGTGCGGGATATAACTAAGAGCCAGACGCCTAGGCCTTCGAATCACACAATTTTATATTATCTCACCCTATTACCTATAAAGGATACATATATACGGAATAGAGCAGTCATAAGATCATATACATCATCCGTATAAGAGATTCACACCATTGGTTTCCCTCGTATGTATCTCTTTCTCAAGGCAGGTAGTTTTATTTTCCACGACATTTTCATCCACTTGCAGGGGGGCTAACTTATTATCATCCCACTTCTCTATCCGTCCGGGTCTCACTGGATTAGGCAGCCGCATCTACTTGGTCACCTAGCGTCCATCAGATAATGGACATCATCAGAGCTGGAACTCATTCTTATAAAATCATCATGTTAACACTAGGTCAAGTAGACTATCCGGCTTTATCTCACCTCTTATATATACCCATAACTTTTACGAGAATGAGTTATGGCTCTGATGATGCCAATCATATGATGGACGAAGGCAAGGGAGGATGTCTCATGGACCGCGTCAACCCGAACGGCTGCAGTACAACGGAATTCAGCCGTCGTCTTCTGATGAGATCAACCTACGAATATCTTCTCCATGCACTTTCATACGAAATGAAGGTCTCACCAACAAAATATTAGTTTATTCTCTTCCTTTTTCTTTATGCATAAAGAAATTAATCATAAGCCTACTGGAACCTCGAAAAATTACGAGCAAATCTTTTCTAAATGTAAACAGACTAGTGAGCATCCTGATGACTCAATGAACACTTTTAAGCAGAAACTCGATTTTAAAGACTGTTGGTATATCGTTCGAAAGAATGTAATGTAAAGGTTCATGGAATGATCTAAGCAATATGCTGTGGTAGATTACCTCTGTTCTGCTATCATTATGATTTAATGGATCTCTCGGCTTGACACAGTCCTTGAGACACTATCCTTCGGTTCCGGGGAGAAGCTGTTCACCTGCATTTTCTCACAATGATAGAAATTATCGGATCAAAGGAGAAATCCTGAAACAGACCTTAGCTTACATCGAGCCTAGAATAGTAAATGGCTAGTCTTTCCCCACTGTAGATACCAAAAGATTCGGTTTGTTTATTCCAATATCTATCATTTTTGGTCGTTTGAGTGCCTATTTATTAATGTGATATACCCGAGTAATCTAAACAGAGCAGAACATCTGTCCTATAGGTCCAAGAGTTTAATGCCTTCTTTTTATGTAGATGGTTAAAGGAGACTCGCCACTACGATTATCAAATGCTGTACAGGTATTTAGTTTAAGTTATTGACTGATTCTTATTATAACCATGCTAGGGAAAATTAATTGGATGGCATTCTGTTGGCAGATGTCTCGACACCCTCTCTATAATTAAATCTATTAAAGAAGGATCTTGTTTAATTTCTTATCCTTACTTCTAATATATAAAACGGTTTTAATGGTCTCTAATTTTAGCTTTAGCGACAGACATTCCATAAATCTAAACCGGAAGAGTAGTCATTTGATCTTGTTTTCTCAATTTGGCCATATTGTCTGGAAGACCTAGAGTAATACACCTTATCCGGAGTGCATAGAATGCATGGTACTTTCCAGAGTCAGACGTGGAATTGGTACATTTTCAGACGCCGGCATCGTAGTCGGCATCTTCAATAAGTCTTGCCATTCTCAGCACCAAACTATAACTCTTCAAAGAGACAAGTGAATTCAATTCGTTGACCAACTTTCTATCGAAACGGTTATGCTATTATTCCCGTTTCGGTCCTGGCCAGTCTATGCATTTCGAACCCTCTTGCCTTGCCCTCGTCCTATCATAACTTCTAACATGTTTATATTTCATAGGTGTGCCCTTTTTGCGAATTTACCATGGTATCATCACGCCTGCTGTTTGCCCTGCTCCCCTTCTTTTTGAGTGGCTGATCCATCAAGCATACCATCTCGAAACGTCTGCGAATGTACCAAGTCCACGGTCCGACTCTAGAAACTATCGTGCATACTATGGACTCTGGACAAGGTGCGTTCCTCTAGGACTAGCTGCCAGTATGACAAAATTGTTGAAACAAGATCAAACGACTAATATGCTAGAGGCTACAATATCTTGGTCCTCGTATCTACGTTTGAACTATGGCCAGACAATGCACTAAATACAGCCGGACAAAGAAGACAATTTAAAGTCAAACATGCATTCGGACCTTTTTATATTGTTGTAACGTTATGGTATTAATGATGGATTTAATGACTGTAAGAGAAACTACTATTCAGATAGGGTTAATGCGATTCTCCTTTAGAAACGTCAGACGAAACCTATTATATGGAAACGAATAAGCTATTTAAGTTTATAAATATTACGTGATCTGACAAAGATTCTCACTCGGGAAGATTTGTAAAAACTTCAAAGTAAGACCAACAAGAAATCGCGTAGGATCTCTGACTTACTAACAAAAATACATGACGATACATTGCTTAGGTAAAGGCTTAGGCTAAAGCCAGCGCGCTCGATTGAAGGGATTTTCAAGGGGATGAACGGAATCATATAGTGAACTTATCCTCGCTTCCTCTTGATCCTAAAACAACCACGACCTTGAAAAATACCAAACTTCTTTCTTTAAAATGACACAAACCTTCAAGAAGACATTCTGGAGCAGGTCATCAATATCTCCGACAAGTTCCCTGAGAAGACAAAATGCGAAATAGAAATGGAAATAAGCCATGGGATCTCGACACATTATGAACCAATGCACATGAACAGATTTGCGAGGCTTTAGCTTCGAATTAGTCACCCAGATGCAGGAGAGGGCGAATAACGCCTCGAGCAGCACAGATGGTGTAGCAGGGCTCGAGTGAAATATGTGAGCCAGAGAGAGGGCAGACGGATCTTACGGGACAAGAGAGAGACTGTGATAAGACCTAGGGAAGAAGGACTGCGTA